GCGCACTCGAGTCTAGCTCTCTTAATAGAGGATTCGTATGCGTACTACTTTCTTGCTATTCTATTTATTAGGGTAAACGAGTTAGTCCGTAAGTCCGGTGTCTCCCGAATTCAAAGGATGGAAGGAACTCTCCTTTCTATTCGGACATCTGAACCCGAACATTAACTGGACACGACAGAATTTCTTTCCGTATTAGCTAAATTAACTTTTCTGTCTTACGCAAAACTTGCGAAACTTTCCCGTTAATTTTGTTCTAGATGTATACCTCGGTATAGATGTATATCGCGTCTTTTTACAATATTCCATATTTCCTTATTCCGTCTAAATGTTAATTAAATGGAAACACAGGAAGTATATTGAATAATGTTGTATCCACGTAGCAGCACACTTTACGACCAGAAAGAACAGAACATCATGAAAGAACAGAAAATCAGACGTACGCTCTCACGACTAAATTCTGAGGTTAAACTCAACTTACAAACGCGGACGTATTTTTCCAATTATGTAGCTCATGTTGGGAGCGGGAAAGAAACGACGAGTTGAATTAAAACAAAGACAGACGCGACTTGGTATTTAGTTAAACGTGATTTCTCGTTGTAAATCTTTTCTGAATTTACAATCGGCTTTAGAAATTTCACGCTTCATTTCACGTTTCTTGATGCGTTTGATTATGCGTTTTTCTTTTTTTTTTTCTTGCAAAACCGAGATATATTGTCGCATTTAGTTGATTGTACTTTTTTCGGAGTATGTACACGCAAGATACTCTCGGCGCGATACTGACCGGATGGCATGCTCTTCCGTCGCTGGCGCGAATGAAAATAGGGAGGGAAAGAAATTTTCTCTCGCAACGACGAGCGAGAGGGCAGTGAATATTCCTGTCCCTTTTAACTCCGCTTTTACGCGCGCATAAGCGCGTTATGAAATTTGCGAATCTCTACTTGTAACTTTCACTTGTGGTCGTAGTGACACACGTAACGCCAAGTAGTTACTTTCCATTGACGCCTAATAGGTGGGGTACGCTTTCGCAATATCAGTCACACAGCATAAATCGCGAGAGACACAAGCCCGTATTCGAGATTTCGAGAACCGTTGAAGTAGATAATGCGTGCTCGCCGCACGAGCACGCAATTATCTCACTGCGAGGTACGAGACCGTTTCCTCATCGATCTGAGATTTAATTCCGGGATATCTGCGATCGATAATACCTCTCGCCACCTCTTCGCTTTTGTTTGAAAAGCGGAGAATGACAATGTTCCGCGAACGTTTTCACAATGTTTTCTCGATAAATGCTCTTGTGTGAAAAACCCCGATGTATCGTTTGGTTATACACTGCTCGGTAAAGTGTGCTGACAAATTCCAGCAGAGCGCTGTGTGCACAGCTTTCGTCGCTAATTACATAAAATGGTAACACACACACACACACACACACGGATATGCAGTTAAATAAGTTCCGACTGCAAAATCATCATTCACCGGTGCGCGTGCGCACAACAGCAAGTGTATATACAAAATCACACTGCGCCGTAAAATACTCCAGAAAATGCGCATGCAGAAAACGGGGAGAAAATGACATAAATTATTTACAACGCGATCCGCTACGCAATGATTCTTCTCTTCCGATCGAAACGTTGGAGGATGAAAAATTTCGCCATTCGCACTGTTATCTTTTACTCGACAGAAATCACGTAGACGTCGGGCTAGTAATAATGAAATTGAGTTTTCACGTTAAGCCGGCCATACGTGAGCGGAATGCCGTTGTTCGAAAGCCAGGGGGATAGACTACTCTCTCCCGGGCTATCGCCGGCCAGAGGGTTAACGGCGGCTCACTTTGAGCATATCTACGCACTTAGGGGTAGGCAACTCTCGTATAATATAACACTTGTTGCTCCATTCGGTGAGTTCTATAAAAATTCTCTGGAAGAAAGCCCTTGCGAAGGGAGATAAGTCCGCCGGCTATAGCCGCGGCATAGACACGCGGAGAGTCGGCCCGGCGAAAATGCTCGCAGCCGTGCCTCTCTCATCTCGGCAGGTAAAAAAATTTGTGACAACATTCCAGCAAAGTGCCAGCTGTTTCATCATGTGACACTTTTCTTTCTTTTCCCATCTGTAAATGCAATTCAAACGTTTATATTACATCAAAGTAATTTTACGCGGAAACGCGTATAATGTTTCATTCATTCATTACGTTACACGATAGCCTTGTGCTTTACTCAAAAGCCCGTTTCCCGTTTGATTCCGTTTCATGAAGTTCTCCGCGTTCAGTATTATTTTTAATATCCAACAATATTTCGCAGCTTGATATGAGTAAATTATGCTCGTTTAATTATTTTTCCTCGTCGGTCGCATTATGTCTCATACGCGCATGTTTCACACATGTGTGTGTGTGTGTGTGTGTGTACGTGTGGGTGTGCCCATCGTAAAATCTGCCGCTCGTTTATTAGTTGTGCATGTGGAACTATGCATCCGTTTAATATCTGCGTGAAAATATTGCGGTACACCGAAATATTTTCCCGTAGACATTAAACGAAATATGGCGTACCACTATAATAACTCATCGTTGCTGGGAATGCGCTTCGTCATTCGCGACTTAATTTTCGGCCGAATTTACGAGTCACGTTTTCATGCTCTCGCATTTCGAGTCGTTCCGGAACGAGTTTTTATGCATCCGACGAAAGGAGACGTTCAGCGCGAGATGTGCGTCTAAAATGCGCGTTCAACATTCAGCGGTGTACGTAACGTCGCAATGTCTTCACCCTTCCGTTCTTTCATGCTTCCTTAAATCCGTACCGTTATGATATACACACATACGACACACGAAGACACACGAGGTATGCGATTTCACATACCTCGGCGAGTGCGGAGTATTCATTTTCCTCGGTCAATCATGAGGGACAAGAGTCCATTTGTCGCGGTGCTCTCCCTTTTTGCACACGCATTAATTACCTCGGAAATTGAATCTTTAATTAAATTACGTCTTCAACGTTAGAACGTCTTCAAGCGGCTATCTAATGGAGAATAAAAGGGTATCAAGAGAGATGAGTTAAAATTAACTGAAACGTTATTAAAGGCGGTGTGTTAAAAAGTAAAAACCAAAAGAGAAAGAGAAAAAGAAGGACGCTCACGAGCTAATTCACTATTCATGCGGGCGGTTTCATTCATCGGGGTAAAGTGAAGTTTCCCGCGAGAATCTTCGCGGTGTAGCTACTGTAAACTCGGTAACTTCGGCAGTTTACCTCGATAGCGAAGCGACCGCGTATGCAGGCTCACAGCAGGGCCGCCGTGACATCCTCGTGAATGTACGCGCGTATCAATCGGCCGTGTTAACCGCTTTACAGTGGAATTTGCGGCCACGACAGTGCCAGGCAGTCTGACGCAGTTATTATCATATTAGAGGCGGGTGCGATCGATGAAGATTGAAAGGGCCGAAATTCGGTGCAGCGCGAAGGCGCGCGATTTACGGAGCGTGGACGTGCACGTCGTTTCGCGGCAGTATTTGCCGCTCGACGGAACAGCGCGTCGACGTAATAACATCGTCCGTGATTGCTAATTAGAACCGCGGCGTTGTTTGCGGGCGTAAGCACGCGGGATCGGGGATCGGGTTTAACGCTGCGCTGCGCTGCGCGCTGCAGCCCTCTCGCCTTGGACGGAGTTGTGCGAATAAAAACGAAGCACCCGCCGCGACCGGCGCGATTATACGGGCAGCTTCGTTGCTTCGCTCGTAAAAGCGGTCGCGTTAAACTTGCTCTTGCGAAAGTCTAACCGGCCCTTCTTCGTACATCTTTAATTCTATTGGTGGTGACCGCGGCCTCGTTTGTTCCGCTCAGCGGCGGCGCGGGCGGTTCGACGAGACCACTTTGGTTACTTTGCGATTAGCCCAGGCAGTAATCGCGCTGTTTTTCCGGGTAACAATGGTCGCACAGCGAAGAATAACCGTGCGCGCGCGCGCGTTTCTTTCTACCGAGGGAGTAACGATCTATTTAATTAGGTAGAGCGGACGTTCCATTATCTCGGCTATACACGTGTATGCATGTCGCACATGTCGCATTGTGTAGCCAACCGCGGACGCGATATCGAGATTTTAATTGAGCGTGCACTCGGGACACGTATTGCTTACACTTACACACGGCGCGGGCGGCGGGGCCGCGTCGCGGAGATTGCGGCTTCCACGTGCGCTGCGATGGACAATGGAGAGAAACGCAGAGCGTTCCGTCGGATATTTGTCCGCGGGACAACGGCGGAGCATCAGCTACAGCGAAGACGTCTCGAACGGCGGATTTCGCAGTCGCGAGCACGTTCCGAGGGAAACATGTCCTCCAGAGAGCGAGAGAAGCTGCAACACGCGCGATCTAAGTTGTAGCCGGAGCGAGCCGCACTGCGGCTCAAATATTCCGCTTTCATTAGTCGCATCGTGCACCCCTCCAATCGATATATCGACCGCCCGTGCGATCCGTCTTGCGCGCGCCGCCGCGCCGCGGGCGTCTCTTCGATAAACAATACACTCGTTATCGGTGTATCTAGAATCATACGCATTCGTGATAGAATTATCGCCGCGGAGCCGATATTTTCAGACTCGTCTCGTATATCTCGACTCGCGTTATCTGTTTCGCGCACGTCGTCTTGCTTCGCCGTCGCGCCTCTCGCGTCTCGTCAATGAAGCGCGAGCGAAGAAGCCGAACGAACCGACCCAAAGCGCCCGACGTACGCGCGGCGAGGATATAAATAAATAAACGACACGCCGAAGGGTAACAATTGCAAAGGGAAATCGAGCAGCGGTATCGCGATCGCGCCGCGAGCAATCGTAAGAGTGTAAAGAAACTCGACACGAGATTTTCTCGAGTCTCGAGATCTCGATCCAGTTTCAAACGAGACGTGTTACAAGACCCCCAAGCTCCCTCCGCGCCGTGACTTGTCGCGCGATGGGCCTCCCGACTGACTCAGCGAAATCGACCGAGTACCGAAGTGATCAATTTGCGGAATTCTCTCTTCTCGCATCGCGACAGACGCCTTCCTGGGTCCCGTGTGCGACTACGTAATCGCACCTGTGGCCAGGTACGCCGGCGTATGGGGTATCCCGGTGCTGACGGCGGGCGCTCAGGCGGAAGCGTTCCGTTACAAGGGCGAGTATTTCCCGACGTTAACCAGGATGATGGGTTCCCATCGTCTGGTGGGCGAGGCATTGAGACACATCCTCCGGCGTTTCGGATGGAAAATAGCCGGTCTGCTCTACCACAATCACCCGATGGCTAGCGGCAGGGGTAATTCCGAGTGCCATTTCACGCTCGGCGCCGTTTTCACGGCGCTCAACCAGACGCCGGTGCACCGGAGCTTCAACCAGGAGACCACTATCGCCGAGGACTATAGGAATCTGCTCGCCTTCGTCTCGAAATCCGCAAGGAGTAAGTCTCGTAGCGCGTAGCGCGAATGGAACGCGCGAAGGAAACGTTGATTTGCAACGACGCGCGATCTCTCTCGCGCGCGCGCGCGACACCCGTATCGTCGTAGCGTCGTAGCCTCGGTGTCGCCGAGAGATCGGTCTCTTTGTCAGCCGATCGCTCATTCTTTTCAGCTGGTCGAATTCTTTCTCAGGAGAGGAAAAGGTGAGAGAGCGCGTTGAGAAAATCGCAGACATTTGCAATACGGTGAATATGAATAATGAAATCATTATTAGATGTGCATGCAGATGTACCAGATATGTCGGTAATTACTTTCCGGTTTTTGTAACAGATGTCACTAGCCATAAGTATGCAATGTTATGATTTGATACATATGTCATTTTGTTCTACTGACATTAACCTCAAAACTACACAAGTTACGTTCCGCCAAAATAACAGCGTTATAGATTAATAATTTTTTGAAAATGTCGAGTTTTGTGCCTGAAAATGTGCATTTGCGGCACGCATTACTTTTCTTGTCAAATCAAAAGAAAAAAGCCGCTGAAAGTCATCGTTTGCTGGTAGAGACTTACGGTGAGCATGCTCCAACCATAAGAACATGTGAAACGTGGTTTCGACAATTCAAATGTGGTGATTTCAACGTTCAAGACAAAAAACGTCCTGGTAGGCCGAAAACGTTTGAAGATGCGGAATTGCAGGAGTTATTGGATGAAGACCCAACACAAACTCAAAAACAATTGGCAGAAAAGTTGAATGTGAGCCGAGCAGCAATTTGTGAACGATTACAAGCGATGGGAAAGATCCAAAAGATGGGAAGATGGGTGCCACATGAATTGAATGACAGGCAATTGGAAAATCGAAAAATCGTCAGTGAAATGCTGCTTCAAAGGTATGAAAGGAAGTCATTTCTGCATCGAATAGTAACGGGTGATGAAAAATGGATTTATTTCGAAAATCCCAAGCGAAAAAAATCATGGTTATCACCTGGCGAAGGCGGCCCATCGACTGCAAGGCCAAATTGCTTTGGTCGCAAGACCATGCTCTGTGTCTGGTGGGACCAGGTTGGTGTCGTATATTATGAACTGTTGAAACCTGGAGAAACAGTTAATACTGATCGCTACCAGCAACAAATGATCAATTTGAACTGTGCATTGATCGAAAACGTCCACAATACGCTCAAAGACATGATAAGGTGATTTTGCAGCATGACAACGCGCCGTCTCATACAGTAAAACCAGTCAAAGAAGTGTTGAAATCACTTGGATGGGAAGTTTTATCGCACCCGCTGTACTCTCCAGGCCTGGCTCGATCCGACTACCACCTTTTCGCATCGATGGGGCACGCGCTTGCAGAGCAATACTTCGCCGATTTCGAAGAAGTTAAAAAATGGCTCGATGAATGGTTTAGCTCAAAGGAGAAACAGTTCTTTTGGAATGGCATCCATAAATTGCCTGAGAGATGAGCAAAATGTATAGAATCAAATGGCCAATACTTTGAATAAATATATTTTAACTATCCATTGTAAATAACGTGTTTTCTTTAGCGAAAAAATCGGAAAGGAATTACCGACACACCTGGTATGTACATGGAAAGACGCGCGTAAGGAAATGTCGGAAAATTATTGTCTCGTGCAAGAACGGAAGTAGGATTCTTACTATTCACGGGAGTTATTCAAATGTAAAGTATGTACGCTCCGGGACTGCGCTGCTCGTATATATGATGATATTCTTGAGAAATTCCTCCGCGAGGATGTCATTTTGTATTCCGTATAAATTTAGACGTTTCTCTCCTTTCTAACCTGTCGCATAATTGCGATAATTATCTGATTATAATCGGAACAACTCCCGCGATTTGATCCGCGATTTATTATTTTGCGTTTGCCCTAATCTTCTACCCTAATCTTCGACACTTTCTACATGTAACACGCGAGTAGCTCGAGGTATTGCTTTCCGCCTTGTGCGGACTTTGCATAAATCAATCAGCCTTTGCAGAAGTCGACTATAGCCAACGAGAGCATAATGTACGTCGTTAAAGGACGTTGCGCCGCGAAATGGGGCTTGATAATGAACGGTGAACTTCGACGTCGTCGTTTAATTGATACCGTTGACGTTAAGTTTGCCGCTACGAATGTACTCTTGCCTTCTACCGGTTGATCACGTTCAACACTTGATACTTGTTAACCAAGTTCAAACGCGTTATCCGAACGTTGCGTCCGCCAAATTTGCATTAACTGCTTTATGCCGCGGGCGTAATTACCGGAAGACGCCCCGGTGAGTTTTCACCGGCGAGCAAACTTACCAAGTCATTACGCTATGGTTACCGTGCAATTCAATGTTCCGTGTATATCGCGAAAATTGGATATATCGCCGGGGGGGGGGGGGTTTAACCGAGCGGAGGAGCTCTTCTTCGCGTATAATTAATTTATCGCGCTCCGATGCGAGAGACGCCGCGACGCCGACGACTCGGTTATGCCGTAAATCCCGCGGCGCAAATCGCATCTCGGCGTATGAGCGTTGCTGCCGTTGTGTCTCACGCAGATCATCCTTACGAATTCGGTGGCGCATCTTGGAAATGTACCGCTACAACTCGTTTCTCGTTTCTCGTTTCTCGATGCTCCTCAATCGTTACATCGTATTACGGAGAGTTTACGCTAGACTTCTTTTCAACAGATGAAATAAGCTTCAGGGAGCGTGTCTCTTCGATCTGATGCTACCTGCACGATTTCTGCGACTTCTGCGAGATAAGGCATAGATATTTTTGACCCAGTTATACTTGATAACATTACACATTTATTGGTCGCTACTATCTCAGCTTTCTACTTCTTCTTCTTTTTTTTTCTTCCCCTTCTCCTTCTTCTTCACAAGCGAGGTCACTCTAGCGCAAAAGTCCGATGTTTATGATATTTCCAGAAAGACCAATTTTTAATTTCCACTGATCTGACATCTTTCATTGGAGATTTTACGCAATATATTATCCGAGGAGCATTCTTTTATGGATATAAATAAAAAGATGGAAAAGGGACAGTAGTCTATTTAACTCTTACAGAATCGGGTTTTTTTGGACGACTTTCACGATCTTTGAATCAAATCTTTCTTGTAAATGCCAAAGAACAGACTCTGGTAAAAAAATAGGAGATTATAAAGGCTAATGTATCTCATATCTTTAGTTTCTCGCGAGCAGGGAGAATCACCGGCTAATGTCGTCAAAAAATTATCATTGTCATCGCGTGCTTGATTGCGCAGGACGACAATCGAGGCAATATCTCGAGATATCCGTGGGCGATCAAAACACCGATACTGTCCGATTTTCAAGAATTCGACATTAACTGGAGAACATGCACGCTCGATGCATTGTCACCGATCTGCGCTAAATTGCTGGCGAATGCCACGGATCGCCGATCGATTGGGATTCTTCAGCTTCCGCTTCTGTTCTGTTCTGAAGAAGAAGCTTCAAGTTCCTATCAAATTTTTTCCGAACCGTTTCCCGCGGCCCTCGCGAGACCTCCAACACGACTCGCCGTTCTTATCGAGTCTTCAAACGATCGCGCTAAAAATAGCGAGACGACAAAATGCTCCGATAACGGGATATCTGCTTCTCATGTTTAACGCTCAGACATTAGTCTGGCCGCTTTGTTTGAAAGCGATGTCTATTCTTAGCGCTGCTAATCTCCCGCTTCAGCTTATCGATGTGAAAACGATATTAACGTCGTTGATTTCGAATGTGTGTCGCAATGTGTCACTCGCCGGACGAGCGTACGATTCTTGCCGTCGTTGCGCGTCCCTCGCTACGTAATCGGCTCTTCCGTAACGTGCATCCTTCAAATCTCCGGCGCGATTTCAAGTTCCTCGGAAGCAAACATTGCGAGGTAACTTCCGGTCGCCAGCATCGCTATCACGTTTGTATCGTGGCGGAAGCGCAAAATTACGCGGCAAATTTGCAACTGCTTAATGGCAGTTGAACGACTGTCGTAGAGGAGCCGCGTGACTACGACGAGCGACGGAGACGAGAGACGAGGGACGAGGTATAAAGGAGAAGTAAGACGATTCGATCTATGTGATAATGAGGCTATTCCCCCGGCATACGGACGTGCCGGGGGATGTAACATCGATCTATCCGTTTTACTCGCATCGGCGTCTCCGCCGCCTCCAGCCGGCTCACTGCACGTTCATTTCACACCATTCGGATGCTTTTTTTACCGTCGTTCGGATATTCGGACGATGTAACGCGCCGTGCTCTCTCGGCGGCTCGGGCTCAGACCGACCGTTTATCACGTCGTTCTCCGTAACGACGTAACCGCGTGTTTAGGACTTTCGGATCGATTTTTATCGCAGCGGCCTCGGCTATTGTTTAAGTCGGGTCTCCGCTTCATTAAGCGGTGAACTTTATATATCTGGATATTCAGCCTGCGTGTCTTGTCGCAGCTAAATCTGAAGAGGGTCTAAAAAAGGGCGGAAAGATGGCCGTGCGCTCAATCAAACTCAGGCGCGCTACTCGATATTCTCGATATTCTGCCGGCTAATCGGAAGCTCCTTGATAGGCTCTGAGGACATTCGGTCGGAAACGCGCGAACCCGCTCCGACATCTTTACATCCGGCTTACGATGCCGTCTCGCATCCATGATGGAGCGAACTTTACCCCTTTGTATCGCGTGACTCTTGTTAGTCGTCGCCGATGATACGCACGGCGTTAACTATAAGCGACGAGCGCCGCTAATGAGAATCCGAGTGGGATCGACCTGTAATAATGCAGCGACGGCGCTCAGCGCGCGGCTGTGCGCCGTCGCTGCGTCCCGCGAGCGAGCAGAATAATATATTTCGTTCGTTCGTTCGTTCGAAATAACACATTATCGTGGCCTAGTATGTGAATAAATAACGGCGTACGTGCGCGCCGTTATTTATATCCCAAGCTGTCAGATTAATGGAACGTTTCGTTGCATATTCGCGATGTGGAATGCTCGTGTCGGCAATAAACGGCATATGTATAAATTGAAAGGGTGGGGAATGGGAAAGGGGGAGTTTTGCCGTGCTAAAAACTGCGCAGCTATGATAAAAAACATCGTTTTTCTCGGTACTGTTAGGGATGCTTTATCTTGCTCTTGTTATACCGTTCAGAAAATTCCCGATTCAATTTTCGATAAATGGCTTAATATGCAAGTAATATGAGCAATAATAATGTTGATGGTGATGTGATTCTGTTGCCAGAACGTTAGCGAAGAATCGTAAACGACTGTGATTATTTGGTTGACGAACAATTTATCTCTGCCGGATGCGATAAAATCAAATTTCACTGAAAAGTCGAGTCGGACTATTTGATTTTACAATAGTTTTCTTTTTTTATTTGGCTTTTTATCATGGCGTTAGAGGGCATGTCAAATATCTTCTTTGATTGATGTGATATTTTGCGGTAGAACAAACAACTGAATGAATAAGGAAGATAAATTCAGTTGAATTTACGGAAATATATCTAGAAAAGATTAATTTCACAATCTGATAGGACATGTCGATAGCTATTACTCAATTCATTAATTTGTATCAAGATGTCGGCGCGCTGAATTATATTCTCGGTGAGATGTATAATTGGCGCATGGCGCCAATTAATGGCGCGCGCATTCGTCTCGTCGTAAAAACTGGATTACGACTTCGCTCGGATAAATGTTTATATTTCGCTCGGCATGTTGCGGTGCAACGACACGGGCAGCCGCGGAAAATACAATCTCGCTCGTATTTCTTCTCGGGAGATATCCCCGAGATCTTCGCTGATCGATCGTTTAATTGTTTTCGAACTGTTGCTCATTTCCCGCGGATACACAATTATACGATGATATTAGATATTTATATACTCGAGTCATCACCCGCCAAAGAATCAATAGCACGAAAGATGCAAACGATTGCTGAAATCAAACGCAATCCAGAGACAAGCTGTTTCTTCTCCTACTATTGTGGAACGTGAAAATGTGCTTCGAAATGACAAGGTGAAGGTAGGCTTCAATTATTTCCGACTTATATAGTCGTGCGATGAATCGCCGTGATACACTTAAATATCGTTTCTTCTCGGAACAAGCGAAGAAAAATCATCTGCCCCGGAGAACACCCGTGAGAACACCCTCGCGTGATCTTTTCATTTTAACGAGAGAACGAGAGAATATATTTTTAACGTCAGCTTTTTCCGTTGCTTTCTTTTGCGCGCAATATTCTTCGTTCATATGAAATTCGAGATAGGTTTACGAGTGATGCAGCTCGCGATATGCAGGTAGAAATGAAACGTTCGATCGCGGACGGTGTATGGGAGATTTTCCGGATTTGCGTAGGATTTTACAGCTTCCCGATATATGTAACATGACACGGGCGATTCATCTTGGCGATGCTTCGGTCGGAGTTCATTGTGACGAGAAAAGAGAGATAGGGTCTCTTAAACATGGGCATGATCCGCATGCGAAAGCAGCAGGCTTTGAAACATCACCTACAGGGGCAGCGGTATTCCACGTCGAAGCGAGGTGGAAATCGAAATTTCTCCATTCTCTCCCCTCTTCCCCCCTCCTCGCCCCTCTCATTCCCCTCGTCGATTTACTACATCCACACTGACTTCCGCGTTCAGCGCGTTGGGGTTGCCACGTTAAGCCAGGATGAAGATGTCGAAGCGGGCGGGATACATGAGGATGATGATTATGGATCGCCGCAGTTGAACGTGATATAATCGCGGCATTGTTTATCATGTAGCTGGACAGAATGCCGGAATATTATCGAGGCGGAAGCGGCCGATACGAAGATAAATGTCAATATGACCTATCTCTCCGGCCGCGGTCTCTTTTATAATCATCGAATTCGCGTTTCACCGCTCTTGTTTTCGCTCTTTGCTTTGTCCCGTCCCCTCGGCAGCATATCGACGGATAATTACCCGTGAGTCAATCGCCGTTGGTGACAATCGCATTTTTAAATGCTGCACGCAAGAGACACGCGCGCAAACTGTATACTGTATTTGCCCTATCAGGCGGCCGAGAAGGAGAGGAACACAGCGCTCGTTGCAAACACTGCGACTAGGGTGACCATATCCCAGTCGTAAGAAAAGAGTAAAAGACGGGTAAAAAAAGTGTATAAAAGAGTACTAATTACGGTCCCAAAAGAATACAATAACATAGAACACAAAGTCATATAAAAGTCAAAGTGACTTTGTGTTTTATCTGGGACAATGATCAATGGATTACTAGGTATAATATTTAAAATAATAACACAGTGGGTACTAATAAACCGAAATAATAAACCGAAATAATAAACCGAAAAATATTAGTCACATATTAGACAGGTCACAAAATATTAGAACACACATATTAGGTTGGGGAAAAAGAAATCCATTATTTTTTCGTTTATTTCAAGGCTTTATTTATAAATAGTTAGGATTGTTCGATTTTGGTCAAATAAGCACCGTTTTGTTCTACAATTTGTCGCCATTTTAAAGGTAATTTCGTGATCCCTCTTTCGTAGAAGCCCTGGTCCTTATTTGCAAAAAACTCGACTAAGCGATTTTCACAGTCTTCTCTTGAGGTCAATTTCTTACCATCAAGGAAGTTTTGCAATGACAAAAACAGATGATAATCGCTTGGTGTCAGGTGCGGACTATAAGGTGGATGCATCAAAACTTCCCAACCAAGCTTCCGGAGTTTCTGACGAGTCATTATAGACGTATGTGGCCTGGCATTGTCCTGATGAAAAACAATTCCTCTCCTATTGACCAATTCTGGCCGCTTCTGGTCGATCGCTAGCTTCAAACGGTCCAATTGTTGACAATAGAGGTCCGAATTTAGTGTTTGGCCGTATGAAAGCAGCTCATGGTGGATGATTCCTTTATAGTCCCACCAAACACTCAGCAAAACCTTCCTGGCCGTTAATCCTGGTTTGGCCACCGTTTGAGCCGTTTCGCTGCGCTTTGACTACGATCGTTTTCGCACAATATTGTCGTATGTAATCCATTTCTCATCCCCAGTCACCATCCGTTTCAGAAATGGCTCGATTTCGTTCCGTTTGGTCAAGGCTTCGCAGATTGAAATTCGGTCCATCATGTTTTTTTGCGTCAATTCGTGTGGCACCCAAACATCGAGCTTTTTCTTGAATCCAGCTTTATGCAAATGGTTTAAAACTGTTTTGTGGTCGATCTTCAGCTCCTGGGCGATACTACGACTGCTAACATGCCAGTCTACTTCGATCATTTCCATAATTTTTTTTGACATTTTCGACGACGGGCCTACCTGTGCGAGATGCATCTTTAATATCAAAATTACCGGAACGGAATCAACGAAACCAAAATTGCGCGTGATTGGCTGTGACAGTATCGGGACCATAAACACCATTCGCAATTTCAGCCGCCTGGCTTGCATTTTCGCCTTTATCGAAGCAAAATTGTAAAATATACCGAATTTTCTCTTTGTTGACGTACATATTTTACGTGCTATAACTCACAACTTAATCGACAAATCACAAAACTGTTAAAGAATTTTTTTTAGTACGGAATGTCACTTTTTCAACGAGTATAAATATTAACCTAAGCGATTAATATATCACGTGATATATACCACTAAAGCCATCTAGCGGAAAAATAATGGATTTCTTTTTCCCCAACCTAATATTTTATTATATTATTAAGATATTTTATAATTATATTTTATACACTACTCCGTACATCGCTTAACAATTTCGGTTTTCACTGTTGTCGTTACCAAAGAGCGGAGACATCAGCGCCGTTTTCTGCAGTCACACAACGTCAGAGCGCTACGTGCCAGTAACGAATTGTGCTGCACGATTTATAGTAAGTAGCGGAGCACCGTTGCGCAGAACCTCTACGCATAATCGTCATTGGCGCTCGCGGCGCTCAAATGCTGCGAATGATGAAAACGTCACCGAAGTCTGTTCTCTGGTCATTATCGACAAAGTATAATTAACATTACGAAAAAAGAGTACGATACGTGAAAAGTAGAGAGTACTCTTTTTACCACCTTAAAAAGAATACATATACTCTTAAAAGAGTACATATGGTCACCCTAACAGCGACGACTGTTTGTTCTTGATTCGTGGGAATCAAATGAATACGCGCGCCGCATTTACATCTAGCGAACCTGCGAATGTAATTGAATCGAACGCATATCGCAAAGTGTTTTACCGCCTGCAATAATATTTATATAGATCTTGGCGTACGCTTCCCTCGCCCACCGCTTCGCCCCTCTCCCCTCCCCCACCCCCCACCCTATCGCACACTTACACCGACGCACAGGCGAGAAATCGCTTTTTTCTCTTTTTTATTTCAGTCGTGGTGATGTGCGCTAATTCAACGACCATTCGGGAAATATTGCTAGCCGCCGAGGAGCTCGGAATGGTGGACTCCGGGGAGTACGTGTTCTTCTCCATAGAGCTCTCTTCCAGGTGAGCAGACAGTACACTTGGACTTTCTACTGCGCAAGAAATTGCGTATATTATCTGTTACGACGTCGCGAGAGTTTTCCGCGCCGCGAATGAACAGCAGTAATAAACGCACACGTATGTGTCGTGTGTTTCTGGACGCGTGAGGTAATTACGTATACACTCGAGACCTTATCTTGCGGAAAATATCTTGAGAAACGAAAGAGAGCGGAGAGAGATGATCGTACACGGGGAGAGAAAAACCGGTCGTCTCAACGCGACAACGAACGAGCTAAGTGCATTTTTCTCGGAGGAGACAGAATTTTCCGCTCTTCAGAGCGAATTTGACCCGAAATTCCGGTTTCTTCGAGCGAGATGCACTTAATTCGCGTGAACTTATCGCCACGTTGATTCCGATAATTTTTCTCTTCCGCGCGAAAGAACTCTCCCCTTGGCTGGGTGAGGTTAATTTCATGACGTAAATTATTACGAACAAAATTGCTCTGGGAAACGACACGTTGCCCTCCTCTCTCTTCCTCTTTTGAACTTTGTACTTTCACGCGGAATATTTCACGCGAAGCATCCTATATGAGTATCGAGCGTGGATTCTGAGTGGGGTGTTGCACTTGATTTAACGACGCGATTGCGAATTCGGGTTCGTTATCCGGGAAAGTTTGCGCCATAATGACGCGCGGGGGATTATACGAAGCGAGTTATAGTCGCGCGAAATCCGTAGGTGCGCGGGTCGTATGTCAAAAACTGGGGCATAAGCAAGGCTTGGCTGTGCAATAGCGCCAGGACGCTAAAGCCATTTTATAATTGAAACGAATGTGTAGTCACTGCAACACACGCGGCGCGACTCCGTACAGAAGGAAAATTGGCATGAAACACGCCGCGCGTCTGTCCTGTCTTCGGCGACGGGCACACGAGAGAAGCGGATAAAAAGGGATTAAAATTGGATCCGACAATGCGCCGCGTATGTCTTTGTGGTGAACCAAAGAGAGAGAGAGAGAGAGAGAGAGAGAGAGAGTGCTCGTTTCATGTAGGTAATCATTATTTTCCCGTCTACGGGCTAAGAATATTACGGTACATTTGGTCGTGAGTCGTCCGGATGACTTTCTCTGTTTCCTTCCCGTGGAAATTCATTCCGGTACGTGAGAGTGTAATTCCTACGCGGTAAAGGTCCATTGCACAATTTTCCAGCGTTTCCTCCCGTGACGTTGCAGATGTTGCACGGTACATTTGCACGTTGACTTAATCGTTTAGACGAAATAAGTGGCAAGTTTGGGAGCAATCTCCATGGTTGGTTTAGCGTACCTGGAATAATATGCTAATGTTGCTCGAGCGCACTATATCGCACTGTTGGATTCAGACAAGCGTATATATTCGTCTCGCTCTCGCGCGAGAGCCTTAATCTACGCTGCAACGGACGAAATTTGGGTCCATTTAAGCCATCAGCTTAATTTAACCGTCGCCACATCGTCCGCGCGGTCGTTTAGTCGTTCCGCGTTAGATCGTGAAGCAGTTTGTTGACGACACATCCGACTCATCGATCCTGGATAAATTGCGTTTACGTACCTATCGTGCCGTGTGTACAAAGGGGCAGGTATTGTGCAATCACACTGTTTAACGAGGCCTTGAGGAGCGTCGCCCCGGGAAATTGCTAATCCCGGAACGTCGTGCACGTAATACGTGATTCCGCGCAGTCGTAAGTTTCTTACGATCTCGAACGCCGTTCCCGTTCTACGAAACGACGTTATCCACGCAACGACAATCCGCCGCCGGAATCAGAACGGAAGAAGGCGAAGGATCTTGAATTTTAACGATCCCGAAGGTATCCTCGGCATTATGGCGGTTCGTTATGTTTTATCATAGAGAGATGTAAATGCCCGTTTCTGGAACACAAAGCTGTTACGCTAGATGTTCCGTTATATATTCGCTTATCTCTTGCCCCCCTCTCTCTCTCTCTCTTTCCCTCTCTCCAATTTTATCAATCTAATTCTTACAAAACAAAGGTTTTCCTCTTATATTTGTCGTTTTTAATTCGTTGTAATCACATGTTTTCTTTTTTCTTCTTTTAAAATATTTCGGTATTCACAGTAATTCGCAACTTTTCCTCCCGTCTTTTGCGGACGACTAGAGGATTAACTCTAGAGTGATAATACACGCATCTATTCTCTCCGTCCCTATGTCACTCTATCTTCGTCCCCTCACTGCCTTTCGTTAATAAAGCGCATTGCACAACTTCGGGTCGATTAAAATTCAACCTACGGTATCGGAAACCTCAAACCGCGAGCCTTCATTTAGATTATCGAATCTGGATAGACATCCGTTGATCTGTTATTGATATTTGTGCAAAACTGTCGCTGCCGCCGGGCAGAAAAGAGGGACGTACGCAAAGTTCTGCACGCGGATGCGTCGAAATCGCGAGCTCCTTTATTAGAAACGACCAGGAAATGCGACTCGATTCGGGATTGAGAAGGACACGGAGTGAAAAGCGAGAAAGTACTTTAACCATATCCTACCCCGAGCGGCGGTCGGGGCGAGTGACTTGAACGGTAATTGGAATTTTCATTCAATTCAGTCCCCGGGATGAATTCGCCAGCCTTCCGTTAACAAGCCGCCCGTCGCGGATGACGGATCCTGAGCAAAGTATGTCTTTTAAAATTGCATTCATTAAGTAAAGAGCCAGCTACCATTTCCCGGCGACTTTCTCCTTTCTGGAAATCGAGTCTTCGATGTTCCCGTCGCGTATTAGATGGACGAAGAATTTGTAGAATATCAAGCCGGAGAATTTTCTCATACAGTTCGAGATTGCTCCGGAACTACGCCGGATTTATTCGCTCGACTTCAACTCGCAAGTGAGGATGGTGCGTGAAACAAAAATTAAACACACTGTCATTGATGAAGACCTCACGTTGAACGGTGATGTCCCTACGGTGGTCTTTTGGTAACGTCAGTTTAGTTAATCGCAGAGATGGAAAAGGATAGAGAGAGAGAGAGAGGGAGAAAGGTGGATTTTAGTTTCTCCAGGCAAACTTTCACCCTTTTGTAACTAGAGCCTTGGATTCGTTAAGTGGCCGTGTACTTTATAGATCCCAATTATGTCGAAACGATCGGCCGTCGTAAAGTAAAAGTTACGATCTCATTCTATACAGAGCGTGAGCCGGCTGCCGAAAAGCTGTTGGCTCACGACATGGTTCAACAATTGTCGTATCTCAGAGACGCAAAACGACCGCTCGTTTGATATCTCGAGAGAAACCTTCGAATTGTTAGCGCTCCCGACGCGAAGCTGTGCATTATTACGTCGTCAACATCGCCCAGCCGGCGCGAATCTATTCTCTTCGGTACGCACGGTCCTTTGCAAGCGTCTTTATCCGGCGAGTCCGGCGTCGGTGTATTTCAGCGACAACAATTCCAAAGAGCCATGGAGGGTCGAAGACGACACCGACGAGAGAAACGAGAAAGCTCGGAAGGCTTATCAGGCTCTGCTCACGGTGACGGCGCGCACGCCCGACAACCTGGAGTACCTCAACTTCTCGCGCGAGGTTAAATCCTTGGCGCAAAGCAACTACAACTTCACCTTCGGCAACAGCTCGGTCTCCACCTTCGTCACGGCCTTTTACGACGCTGTGCTGCTTTATGCCCTCGCCCTTAAGGAAAGCCTGCCGAAGAAGCCGGGTGAGGTCTACCTAGACGGCGGTAATCTGACCCGGAGAATGTGGGGAAAGAGTTTCAAGGGTAAACTTCAGCCTTTTTCTCTTTACCCTTCACTGTAGACGTCCGGGGATCTCGCGCGGGCGGAAATGACGCTGGGACGAGGGTCGGAATCGATCAGATCAGACACGATCTCCCTCGCGTGGAACGTGCAGCTAGATAACGTCGGCGTTAATCGCATGGCGATTAGTCGCGGCGTACTTGCGGAAAGTTTCGGAGCAACCGCTACGTCGTTAGAATCCTTTCCGTAGCGGAGCACGCTCATTGGAAACGCGCGAAGAGTGCACAGGCGGTCGTTAGCGAAGCGCGCCCGGCTCGGATCTTTCAGGGAACTTTACGGCGGACATTTTACCGCAGAGGAAAAAATGCTCTTTACGCGTTTTATCGGTGATATTTATTGCGCTGCATTGCGCTAACGATGCGGCCGCTCGTAAATCCCAGTCGGCAAGACCGACCGTCGGCGTCGAGTCTATGAAACGACGAGTCGACTACGAAAGAGACAGCCAGTCTGATATTTCGGGCTTTCGCGGTGTAGAGAAACACTTGACTTGGTTTCCGCGTCCATTCGTGGATTTGTTACCAATGTTTCGTCGACATTCCAGTTCACTTCTTCACGGAGAGCAACAACTCGAAACTGTTTGAGGTTTCGTGAACATTTCACGATTTACTATCTTGAACAACCTGAAACACGCTTCTCGTTCCGTCAGCTTCAAGCTGTTCCTCTCCCTGAGGAATGTTCATGAAACGTCGGAGATAAATCCACGGTGGGCCCACCATTTTCGTCGCGCATCAAGATATAGGATAGTGCTCTTAATTGGACGTGTTTCGGCCGCAACGACCGAATCATTGATTATCTCGGCGCATCATCACTCGGTGCGCCAAGATCTGCCGGTGACGCTGGCGCGACCTTTCCGCTTCCTATAACTAGTGGATCGATTTATACGCCATCATCCGCTCCCTTTCTTCTCGCTCGTGTCTTATTCGAGCAACTCGCGGCGATTCCGGCTTCGTTACGCCCGCGCAGTTTCGAGACGCCACACGTTCTTATAATTCTTCGAGATCGCGGATCTTTCTGATTTTTTTCTTGAAATACTTTGCCAAGACGGGCTGTTAGACGCTATCTCGTCTTGCCTGCGACTTTTGATTTGCTCCGGGAACTCTTATAACCGATATAGCCTTACATCAACGGAATGTTAGATCGCAGACAATTTTCTTTGTGTTCCAATATCTAGCGTTTCTCTCGTCCCCGTTCAAGTGTTCTCGTTCTCTTGTCCCTGCGCTTCCGCGAAGTCTTGCACTTTTAGATAGATCGCCTCGAATCGCAGCTATCGTCCACGCGAATTTCTCCGTCTCATCTTGTGAGGCGATATTTTTCGAGAGCCGAGAATTATGCGATCACGCGTCGGCGCGCGTGTCGCCGATAATATTATTTAGACTTTTCGTCGGTGTTGCGATTCATCGAGCTGTGTCGTCGCAAAAATCTCTGATGACCACTCGCGCGTAATCGCGCGATTACGATTGATTTCAGGAATAACCGGCGACGTGAACATCGACGAGAACGGCGACAGGATCGCGGATTATTCTCTCTTGGACATGGATTCGGAAACTTCCAAATTCGAGGTGAGACGTTCATCTCACTTGTCAGTTCATCGGGAGTATCAGCCGATGATGCCGCATTGGCAGGCAAGACACAATTTAACCCCCTGAGCATCGCGTGATATCGAAGCGTTTGATATGTCGAGCTGAGACCAAATGCAAAATTCAACAGGCGTTATTACATCTCTTTTCACACGCGTCGTTTCGCACTCCAACATACATACACGTCTCGCTCTAGCGCTTTTCCATTTCTCATAACATGTGAAACAATTGCCCGCAGATCGTGGCCAATTATTACGGCGCGAATAAAACACTGGAGTACATAGCTGGGAAGCAAATTCACTGGGCCGGTGGTCGTTTAGAACCGCCTCCGGATACACCTACTTGTGGATTCGACGGCTCGTTATGTCCCGATAATTGTGAGTTGACAATATCTCCTCTCAGCGCGCAGCATACAGAAGCGTTCGATCGATCGCGCGACATACAATGACTACAAAGAGATGCCCGTGTTTTGTGCGAGCGTTTATCACTGCGTCGTTTGTTAATATCAGCCGTTTGACAATCACCGGCAGATCTATTCTGTAACTTCCAGCGACAATGTCGTTATCGTTACATTGTCGTCGCTCAGGTGTAGCATATAATGGGAAAGCAGCGCAAGGACGAGCCGACGAGAACGATATCGCCGTTAAAAGTTGCAGCCTATTGATCTACACGACGGAGGTTTCGCGGCGGATTACCTTCGCGCGAGCTTCCCTCGCATAATCGCGCGTGCTTGTCACAATCGCGAGTTTCATCAGAATACGAAAGCGACCGCGACGCGTCGGCTAGAGACGAGGCTAGAGGGAGAAAGAGTACGATGCGCTACCTTTCGTTTAAATTACTAATGTTTGACAGCTCTCCCGGGGTACGCCATTCTCTCCATTGTACTGATGAGCTCCATCGTGGTCGTTTTCATCGTCGGCTCGATATTTGTTTATCGGTAAGTACAATTTGCTTTCGAGCAGAATGCTTTGCACTCTGTGTCTCTTGACGCGGGACGGCGTGTTCGCTCGCCGGTGTGTGATCGCGCAGGCAAGCATAGGCAAGCAATTGATTGTCGCGGGATGAATATTCGAATATTGAGAAGCACGCGCTGACATTCAAGGCTTTCAAGGCCCCCACACACTTGGGGCGCGAGCGCACCCTCGCACCAGAGGGAGGGAATAAAGGACGCTGTGCCGAGTCGGCGCTACGTGCGCTCGAAGGAAGACCGCGGCGAGTAACGATTTTCATTTTGGCCGCGCGCGCCCTTGCTTTAAATTATATGATGGTCTAATGGCCATTCTTGCTTTAATCGGGGAGAATCAGCGAAACTGTTTCCCACTGGGCATTATTTCCCACCGTTCGGCGCGAAACTTCTTATTAAGCGTGTCAGTCTACGTCGCGCGAATGCATTAATCCGCCGAGATATTCCGCGAGGGACGGCACGATGTTCGCGCGAATGAAATCAACCGTTGATGCCGAATGAAACCGAGCTAAATTGAAAGTAATTTGCGTTTTCGGCACGGCTCGCCGTAGAGAGGAACCAGCAGACCGAGGCGCGCATTAATGACGCGCAAAATTGACGATTAGAAGCTTCAAAGGTGTCGTTTTTCTGCGTGTTTCTTTCTGCCTTTCTGCCTTGCGCTTCGTTTCGCAGCGACGAGATAATCTCGATAACCTTCTAAGGAGCACTCGCTAAGTGCATATATACATGTCGAGAACGTGCAACTCCCCGGCTTTCTCGAGCACATAAGACTGAAAGACAGTGGAGGAAGGAGAGGCTGAAGGAAGCTGAAGCGACGAGAGTAGACCGAGGGGGCCGAGGCGGGACACTTCTGCGGTGAAATTCTCGGATGCTGTGGATTAATCGATTTATATCCGTCCGCCGACTCTGTGTTATGCGATCGCTCCGAGTGTCTCTTTGTGTTTCTCCCTAGCTCTCTCTCTCTCTCTCTCTCTCTCTCTCTCTCTCCCCGTATCTCCTTATTCTTCTCAGCTCGTTGGCCACGAAGGTTCTTCAGCCGTTTCACAGCGAATCATTTTCTCCTGTTTCGTGCGCGTGAACGGACGTAAATCAATTATAACGCGATCTTAAACATCCGCGATTACGCGGAAAGAAATAAGCGGCTAATGCAGCTCCCGTGTAAATTGGGATCGCGCCACAGTAATTGTTATCACCGTCCCACGACCCGGTCTTTTCCTGCAGTTTACATTGCATAGCTCGTCGTATTATAACTCGGCTCACACGCGCTGTATCTTGCCGCGGGATCTTAATCGAAGCTGCGATAGAACGCGAATGCACAATGTTTTGCAGCTCGCTTTTAGGGCGCATTAAAATCCAGCCGGCTCGACACAGGGATCCCTTGGTTCGTTTCGATCGCTCGCGGTGATATCTTCGAAGTCTCTCATATCGGCGTCTTTTCAACCGGGATATCTACGGTCACAAGACTGATAATGACTCGCGAATGAAGTTATTTGCGCTTCCCGTCGAGGTCGATACAATTTACGCGGGATTACAAGTGCGCCGCGCCGCGCGAGTATCGCGACAATATTGCTTTTACGTCTCTCGCGACATGTGTATGTTTTTCGGCCTAATAACGATGCGCGACGAGTCGCGAGGAACCAGATCGATCGCATGTTGCACGGCTGGTCTCGGTGACCTCGGTTGCGTTTCGCGCAGGAAACGCTTCTTCAGGTACGCGCGACTCGCGACCTCGAGTGACCACGCGTGGTAGAGTTACGGCCGTGGTCGTTACAAAGAAAATTATACATCATAGAGGGAAGAGCGCACTTCAGTTCCGAAAGTCAAACACCGCGCCTGCGGCACACGTGGAATACCCGGCTGAAATTATCGCGCGTAAATACAATACACTTTCCCGGCGGCGACACTCGTGGAGCGGACAAACTCGTTTTGATAACTCACACGGAGGAAGTAGATTGCTCGAATTAACACGGCAATGGACGAATCAAAAGCGTCTCGATTGAAGGCAATTTTTGCTTGTCATAAAGCAAATTCGTTTCTGAGAATCAGGTTCCTTCAGCGAAAAATCGTACAATTCGCTTGTTGTCTGATTAATTCATTGTCAAACTTATTCCTCTTTCTGAGGAAGCGAACGCATTACCAAGCCCGAAATCAAGCATTTCTTCAAACCGTGAAAGCCCAAACATTACATTAAGGGGACTGGAGGGTCAGATTGCTGAAAAATCGTACTTGTTTCTGATAATATTTTGTGACGAACTGAACAAATGTGCAATAATGAAAATTTTAGGTATATTTATACAACATATGAAAAGTAGAAATATTTTGTTTATTAACAAATACTCGTATAAATATACGATATATATAGCTGAAATACTCTCCTTTTTTTGTTCAAGTTATCGTTTTTTTGCAGTAATATCTCGGCTTTCGGTGGTCCGATCAGAGCGAATTTTAGCTAGAAATCTTCAAGAGGCTTATCATTATCCGGTGAACCACTAGAAAAAGAATCGAACAAAATTAACAAAATGGTAGCTATTATTAAGAAGAAATTCAAATTTTTCAGTCCTTTTACAATAAAAAAATTAAAACTCGAAATGAAATATTTTGACGGTGTTTATGGTTCATCTGAGAACCGCATGAACAAGTATGATTGCTTTAAAATTTCAAATCGTTACGAAGCTCAGTTTCGGAGAAATCACTGCAAAAGATTAAACAATAAAATTTCGAGAAAAACGCGTTTAAAATTTAAGTGGACGTATATTTATATGAGTATTTGTTTAAAAACAAAATTTTTCTATTCTTCATATGTTATATAAATATATCAAAAATTTTCGTTCTTGCACATTTATTCAGTTCGTCATAAAATCATTATGTCACAAAAACAAGCATGATTTGTCAGTAATCTGACCCTTCAGTCCCCTTAATTCAATCGATTTTGTTTCTCCGCGCGCTTGATTGTGACTTGAGAATCGAGCAATCGAGAGGGAATTTGAGCGACAAAAGAAAAACAGGAAGCTGACGATATTGACTTTCCGCTTTGGTATCGCTATTAGATAATTATCAGTGATCGAACGACCGGCGTAATATGCCGGATATATCGGCGGGAGAGCGAGCGAATTCGAATTCCGATGTTATCGGACGCCGTTGTGTGAGCACGCGGGAACGATGCATTCGCTTTTTTCGTTTTCATTCCACGAAAAATATGCGTAAAGTACACATTGCATCGACGACCGAACGATTCGAGCTAACTGCTATACGATCCGCTGTGAGAGGCGATTGTGCTTTTCTCGTCTGGCCTTGCTATTCGCAATTCGCGCGAGCATGACTTCACGGTTGCAAGTAATTTTCGATAACTCTGCGTGTATATATGTGTGTGTACGTGTATCAGTTGCGAATTTAATTGGAGAATTTCCGAATCCAGCCGCACGAAGGACCTTTATACACGGAATAGTATCTCGCGCGGGACAGATAGGCATGTAGTTATGAGATGCACCGGCACGTAATTACCTCCCGTGTCGCTCTACGCACGTATACACACACACACACACACACACACACAGCAAAGTGACCTGCGAACTTGTGTGCTTCGTGTTCCTCTCGTACAGATTCACGCGTTTGTAGATACCGCTGGGATATGCCGCATCGGGGCTGCCATGTAGCGTACAAGTGTATCGACCTGATTAATTGCATCTTCCAAGGAATAGCGTCGCGAAAATATTTCCGCTACATACGCCGCGCGTGCGTTTGCAACATGATAATTGTCACTGATAAAAAGATCCCATTAATTAACAAGAGAAAAAGATGAGAAAAAAGAGAGAGAGAGAGGGAGGAAAGAGAGAGCAGAATATTCTTTGTCGAGGGGAGAAATAATGTCGACGTCTGGAATTAATTCGCGGCACGTACATTTAAGCGCACGCTTTATCACGCAGCCGTAAAATATTGCGCAAATTCTACGACGCTTCTATCTTCGCCGCGAATCTTGCAACAGTTCCGAAGGACAGTAACGCATGTAACGTTTTCTTTTGCAGGCGTTTCAGACTGGAGACGCAAATTGCTTCTATGACGTGGAAAGTGCATTGGGACGACGTAATGGTATTGTCGAACGTGAAAACCAGGGGCTCCATGTATTCGCTGATTGCGAATAAGTTTCGCTACAGCCAATTGGTAAATAGATAAGAAATGTCATTTTTCCGCTATCGTTGCGTAAGACCTTTCGCGCTGTTTCGCGGTAGTGATGACTCGGTCTTTCGGAATGTTGAATCGTAATAATACTCGAGCAGAATTTGAATTTAAAACATTTGTTACGAGAGCTTACGACTGATAAGGAAACAAAAACAACGATCAAATTTTTATTTCAACATTCTTCCCGGAGACATTTCAAAATATAAACAATTATATCATAAAAAATATTGAAAATAATCAGTCAGTTTCTGATCTATCTGTCTGGCTGTGTGTAATAAATTATTAATAATATTTAATAAAAGAGAGAGAGGAAGAGTCGTACCACACTTGAAAATAAAAACTACGTCTGACTCTATCGTTGAGTCGTGCTACGACCTCGACTTATTAAAGATTGTGGTGTCTCATAGCGGCGACTTTGGAACTAACAAAGCCGCAAATAAAGGGTCTAATTGTAATGGGTCAAGTATAAAGTAAACTTTTAAAACATTAAAAATATTTTAACTCTGAAGCATTTGAAACTTTTTACTCTTCACCGAGTTCCGGAGGAAAAGAATTACAATTAACCTCAAAAACTCGGATCCATCTTAGTCAAGATTCGAACCATGCGTTTAATGATGTTTTATGCGGCATCGTTAGATGGTACAAGGCAGTTTATAGCCAATTTTTTTAAGACTCAAATTATTTTAGACTTAACAGTGAAAGAGAGCCAGAGGATTGTTTTACTTCAAGTAATACATCTTTCGAATCATAATTTATTTTTATACAGTACGAGTAAAGTCGAGTGACTTTTTATATTTAATTAATAATGATTTTATTATGAATATCTATTTATTATGAATTATCCTGCCGATGTATCGTTTTTTAGATAGCATTGGAGAATAAATACAATGGGAAGTACATATTGCTGTTTGTTGAAATTTTATGCTCGACTTTTCACGTTTTTATTTCAACGGCGATCATTGACTGAAAGATTCGTGTAAGTCTTATTGGAGTAGCTTCTGCTTTGTAACTCTCGTATTGTCTCGTGAATTTGGATTCAACGATAAAATCTTTGACTAATTTGAAACCAGACTTTGTTTAATTAAAAGGTCGATCAATAGTTTCCGGCTCGGTAAATGACTACGATTGAGTAGCTTCTCACGAACAAAAAGTTTCAGTAGTACAATTAAATAACGAGTGTCTCTAATTGAAGGTTTAATTGCTAAAGTATTTAATCTTTCTCTCAAGATTTTTCTTAAGCAAAATTTTAAACTGGTCGATTTTAGCGACATTAAATCGACAATATTTTTGCTCAAAGAAGTGCTTTCAACAGTAGTTTTTTCGCAAGCCCCGCATAAAGCCCTAAACACAATGCCAGGCAACAGGCAATAAGAATAAAAATAGACCAATCATAATCGACTATTGCAAGAATAATCTATTGTGATTGGTCTATTTTTATTCTTATTGCCTGTTGCCTGGCATTGTGTTTAGGGCTTAAATGTACAATAGTACAATAATTCGGCTGATCTGTTTGCGACTTAGATGATTCTTCAAAGGAAAAATTGTTTCGATTGCAGACGATATATTCCGAGGATAACGCGAGCATGCCGGAGGGCGTTGACAAAAACAACGTGTATATGCCGACGGGATTATACAAGGTCAGACTATGACGTTTCGTTTCTGCTTTATTACTTCTTGCCGTAGGATTGACTTCAATCTCGACGCACGTGCGTCGCGTTATCAATCACGCTTGGCGGGAAGGGGGCTAACTTTTGGAACTTAAACGAAACAAAGTCACAATACGACGTACCTGCGCATATAAATATACATATCGCGAACGAGATAGATCATTCCCCGAGTGATTTCCACGCGACGCACTGCCCGACGCGATTCGAAAACTGCGGACGATAAGCTGTAAGCGATTCGTTTCAGAACTCGAAAGTGGCGATAAAGGAGATACCGCGGAACAAGGTGGAGATCTCGAGACCTCTGTTGTTAGAATTAAAGCGGGTGAGTGGTTGACTTGGCAAACGACGCGTTTCATTTCCATCTCTTTGAGTCGTCGTACAACTCGTTCAAAGTAAACATACTCGCGTTTAACTTGCCGAGGCGAATTGACTTGTCTCAAGGAAGGAACACACGTCACGCGAGACGATATCTCTCATGACTACGAAGACAAATAGTATTTGACCGCGCATAGTTTGCTCCTAACGGCCGCTGTTGCATGCAATAACTCATAAACCATATGAGCGGTGATGGTGATGACTTTCGCAGATGAAGGACCTCCAGCACGATCATCTAGTACGATTCTACGGTGCTTGCCTCGAGCCGCCACACTGTTGCTTGCTGACCGAATACTGTCCCAAAGGATCTCTTCAGGTAAATCTTCCAAAACTCTTTCGCGACAAGCAATATTGTATAAATAAACATATATATATATATATATATACAGGTTGTATCCCTGAACTCCGCCGACAAATTCACAGGATACTTTTACGTAAAAAAAAAGAAAATCAAAGTCTTAATAAATATATGCCATGAAACGTTTAGTTTCTGAAATATAGCTGTTGCAATCTCAGTTTAAAAGAATCATGTTTTATTTATTAAATCATATTTTACACACAAATAAATACACACAATAAAAATAAATACACACAAATAAATACACACAAATAAGTAATTAGACATGTATTGTTATAAAAATTATTCAAAATTTCTGCTATATCTTCAAATTCCTCAAAAATATAGGCATCTATGAGTTAAGGAATAATAATATGTAATAATAAAACGTTTTTCAATTTTATTCACAATAACGCTAACAATATATCAATATGACAATGAATGATTCTTCGATTAATATCCAGAAGTCACCAAAATTGAATAGAATTTATCTTGTAAGTTTGCTGGTAGAATTCAGACCCACCTTGTATAATTTACACGCTTAAAATACGTTGCAATGCACACTTGAGTGCTCGATCGCGATTCCGCACCTTACGTAACACTTTGATCCTTTGTTATTGAGCAGGATATACTAGAGAATGACCAAATCAAGCTGGACCACGTGTTCAAAAGATCCCTGATACATGATATCGTCCGCGGTATGGCTTATCTTCATGCGTCAGAGGTGAAGAGCCACGGCAATCTCAAATCATCGAACTGCGTGGTCAACTCGCGATTCGTCCTGAAAATCGCCGACTTTGGTTTGCACGAGCTCCGCAGACCGATGGATACGGATATCGACAAGAACAGCTACGCCTACTGGAGAAGTACGTGTTCACGAATCGATTATAGCACCAACGACGTTATTTTTCCAAGGATCATGGCCGCGGTGGAAAATATTTTCCGAGCGCGCGAACGAAAAGGGAGGGATAACGTTCCGAGTAAACCCACGGAAAGCTCGCTCTTTTGCGAACGTTTTGCCTCAACAGCAATTTTACCGCATGCGAATGCATATATGGAAAATGTTTGTTCGATCGATGATTTGTAGAAATTTAATTTCCGCCAGTTACATTTGTGAAACGTCAACAACAGTATGTAAAACATGACGGCCGAAGAATCAAGTCGCGTGATTTTTTTGTCTCCTTTTCAAACGGAAATTTCGGTGTTCGCAGAACAGCTGTGGACAGCTCCGGAGCTATTGAGAATGGAACGACGACCGCCCGAGGGCACTCAGAAGGGCGACGTGTACAGCTTCGCCATAATCGTTCACGAGATCGTGATGCGCCAAGGGCCATTCTACTTGGGAGAGGATAACGAACTCTCTCCACAAGGTAAGTCTTTAAAGTTAAAGTCCGCGATCGTGGATAACGTGCAATTGGTTTTTAGTCTTGTTTCTCTCATTCGGCAGTACGATAGTACAGTAGTCGGCGACAATAACATTCTGCAAGTTTGCTTCGCACTCGCTTCTCGGTAACTTGGATTGCAGTTAGCTTAACTAGCAGAAACACGAACTTTAAAGTTTACGCGTAATTCCGCTCCCATTATCTGGGAACGGAGACGAACGTCGTACGACCGACGAGTCGAATTTTTTCTCTTATTGTTCATTTTTCAACGACGCGACTTATTGTCAGGTCGAGAAAACTTTTAATCTTCCTCGCTTGACCGAGGTATAAAAAGTTCGGCCGACCTGTCGTTGAGTCGCGCTACTTGAGGATAAGAGTCTCTCTGGTCCGCCACATGGAAGCGCGTACCAAACAGAAAGAGGAAGGCAATTGAAATTGACGAAAGTCTATAACATATGCTTATAAAATATTTAAACATTCCGCTCGTTTCCGCAATTTACACTACGTATATAAACATTTGTATGTGTGTGTGTGTGTGTATGTGTGTGCACTATCGATCGCTCGAGGGAGCTTTTCTGCCTGATGATAAATCAAGTTCCTGTCCACCGTTTTACCGGCCGTCGAACGGATAACCACCGCTTTCAAAAGCTTTCCGAGGAAATTCTCGTCCCGAAGCGACGAGCTCACAAGTGCCGTTTGATCGACGGAAGGCTTCCTCGCTTAAAGAAAGAAAAACGTGCTGGCAATCTACCGAGTTTGGTCCACCGAACTCGAGTATCATCACTCGGTGGATATCGAAGTTTCGGTCGCTAAGCGCAATTCAAGTCTCACCGCCGTCGCGACCGATAACAGAACTGTCGCAAGCTCGCAAGTTCCCCGAGACCGGATCGATCGCAGGACGGAATGTGTTCCGTAGGAGCGTGCCGGAGCGGCGGCCGAAAGCTCAGTCGAAGCTTTCACGCGTCCTGGAACGCACATGGCTTTCGCGCGCGCTCCGCCGATTCTCCTCGATATCGCCGCTTCTCTTTATCTTCTTCCTTCTCACCGTAGTTCGCGTAATCACACCGCATAAACACACCGTCTCGGCGGCGACACGTGAATTCGGCGGGCGTCGCTTATGCCCGCGATTACGACATAATAACGGCTACCGAGTCGTAGGTATCGTTGTTTAGAAACCGGAAGAGAAATCTTTCGACCGCAGCGAGCCCGGCGACGGCAATGTGCGTGCATACGACATCGCGTGCGTGCGTGCGTGCGTGCGTGCGTGCGCGCGCGCGCGCGCGCGAGCGCGAGCGAGCGAGCAAGCGAGCGAGCGAGCGAGCGCGTGGTGCGCGCGTGTGTGTATGTGTATGCGTATGCGCGCGTGTGTGTGTCATTTTTTTTCTCTCCTACGTCCTGCCTTCTTGCTCCTTTGCTGTTCAAACGTACGGTCACGCGAACGTCGCCGCGGCCTTCCGGATTGCTCGCAGATCGTTCACTGGCGCGATTTATCGGCGTTAATCGTCCTCGGCGGCGGTATCGATTTCGAGTGCGAAAACAAAGTTCGTCGCGCGGGTCGACGCACCTTCGCATAATATGCGCGCGGCGTTTTACGAGCGCGCGGAAGTAATTACCGCGCGTCACGCGGTATGTCGAGAAAACGTGCGCGGAAGTAGAACTCGACGATTGTGCTGGAGGAAAGAGGTCCCTGACCGTGTTAACAGTCTCTCCCGCTGGAGAAAAAGCTAAATTTCTGACTGCGTTCGGCTCTCCCTCTCTCTTTCTCGCTCGCGAGAATCAGGTCCAAGGAAGTGTTGGAGGAACGTTTGGGAGGTTACACATCCCCCCGACTGTGTTAGAGGTCCCCTATTGGAGGGAGAAGAAAGAAAGTGCTCGGTCGTGTCCGCGTCGTTGGAAAAAAACAAAGCAGCGATCGTTAGGACGGGAGAGATCCGCTGGCGCGATTCACGGGCTTGTCGACGTCGGTCTGTTACTACTTGTCTGACCATTCGTTGACTCGCGTCGCTGATCGAATTAACTTCGCGTTTGTACTCGTGCGATCACCACTATCACGTGTGATGCGATCTGATTTATTCAAAGCAAGAGATTCACCGACGAATCAACCACGTATAGCAATCCGAGTGAAGCATTGCATAACCCCGATCGACCGGGTCGGATAATAGTTTCGCGTTCTCTCATATTCACCGCGCGAATTTCCAGCGATCATGCACGTCACAGGCTCAGGAATTTGAGTCACCGGAGCTTCTTCTTTCTCGTCCTCTATTTTTTCGACCTGCGAGCCTGCCTCTTTCGCTTTGCCCTCTGTATCTTGAGTGTCGTTTTTATCGAGACAGAGGAGCGCCCCACGTTTATTGTCCCGTCGACTATTCGCTGGCCTCGCGCGATCGCGCCGTTGTGCAGCAAACGCAGTGTTCTCTTTGTCATGTTGACATTCTTCTTCTCCCCAACATTTATCGTTACCATCCTGAAGTTTCGCGCTCGACGGACACTGTTTATGCGACCGTAGCGGGAAACATATTTCCAAGGATTTTGCGAGAGAGAAAATATTATCTTTCTTTTGCGAGAGAAAGAGAGAGAGAGAGAGAGAGAGAGAGAGAGAGAGAGAGAGAGAGAGAGAGAAATTACGATTTATATGCAAATGACTAGCTTGACCGGTGATTCTTGCAAACTTGCACCCGTTCTGTATTATTTGTCAACTCACGCTGCGGTTTTTGATACGAAAAACATCCGTGAGATATCCTTCATATTTTATAAAGTTGTTTCTTTTCTTTTTAATTTGTTTACGTTTGGATCTATGTACGCGCATCTTCAATCTCAAGGAACATTTCGACATTTCGTCGCGTGGTGGACCGACATCAAACTAGACCGACAAGGAATGCGAATCAAGAGACATGCGATGGGCGCATTAATTGCAGCATTGCCCAATGGTGATATTCGTATCAACGAAACGTCCAGTGTGACCTTATCACACTGTGTGAATATACCCGCTCCTCCGAGGTGCGGCGACTTTATATTCACGGCGAAGTCCCGGGTGGAAAGCGGTTCGCGCTAATTTACTCGGCGGCGAAATCGGGGTTACGAGCCCGCGGTTCGCGCTCATTAATTCGGCGTAGGGCGTTTTCGGTGGTCGACAAGGCGCACGACACGAAGTAAACAACTTTCCTAGTCCTCGGACGACTTGTGACCCAACGATCTGTACAATTTATAGAAAATACGACGTGTCGTGTGATGCGAGAGAATGGCGGCGACGGCGACGGCGACGGCGACGGCGACGGCGACGGCGACGACGACGGCGACAGTGGTGGTGGTGGCATTAAGTCCGGCGTATGCAGTAGGGCAAAGTTCAAAGGGGTCGTTGGGGTGGAGGCAAAGACCCGTGGTGGATCCGACCGGGATGGAAGACACAAACTCTCGAATGTCTCTTAATGCAGTGAGATTCCGCTAAGGAATAAGAGGAGGAGAGAGAGAGAGGGAAGACGACGAGTCACTACTTATCAAAAGTATCGTTCGAAGAAGCATTCGCCCATGACTTCCGGGTGCTTCATGTGTCGTTATTCATGAAAAGAGCGATTCTCTTCCTCGTTTGCACTCACGTGGGCGACGACGACGAGGCGGTTCGCGTTAATTCTCGCGGTTTCGCTCGCTCTTAACGCTGGCAACGCTTAAAGCTGCTTCCCTCGGCGACTTTCGATTATCTCCGACTTTCGCTCTCACTTTTGTCTATCGAAGCGAGAGGATCGCTAATATATTCACTAAAGTTTTGGAAACATCTCGGAGGATGATCGGCCGGAGATTATCATCGCAACACGCGCGCTTTTATACGATAGAAAGTTCCACGCGGAAATCGATGGCGTGACTGCGGCGAAATTTTGAAAGCTACGACCCCGTCGTGTGAATCCAGACGAAAACAGGGTCATTGGTCGTAAAACGAGCAGACACGAACACGTTCAAAGTCCCATCGTACCAGGGGAAGGAAATCAAAGTCGGATACGACGGCTCAAGGTTACGGAGACGTAACTTTCCGCCCGAGTCTCGTCGAATAAATCGTCTGTGATGTCGTTACACGCGAGTTAAATTGTAAGACGTTCATCGCGCCGCTCGTTTCATCATTGAATGCATCTCGGAGAGCTCTCAGGCGATAGCTTTATTAATCTCAGGCGATAGCTTGTCTATAGCGCAACTACCATCGGATTAGGGACGAAAGTGGCATTCCATGGAAAACTACAGCGCGATTTTGATTTCCGTTCGACGTTAATGCGACACTTTCCAGGAGGCACAGTAAACTCTCCCTCTTTGTTTCATCCGACTGTACGTTTGCGTTCCTCTCCTGCATCGCACGCTGCAATGATCGGGAAGCGTTTATCGTCAGGCGGTGACAATTTCCGCCGACTCGAGTAAGATCGAGTGATCGATCACTGGTCAAGGGTATCCGTTTCGCTCCGCGAATTTTCACCGGCTTATACATCGAACCGTAAAATATGATGCTCGTGATGACATCGGATTCCAAGATCAAATCACGAGGGTACAGGGTAAAGTACATACACACACACGCGTGCGCGTATAAGCGCACCGACTCGACGGAAGCATATCCGCTCACGCGCGCACCCGACGACAAGATCGCGCTACGTAAAGAAGAAGTCAACACGAGGGTGTGGGGTCAACACGGAGGAAAGATGCGATATCGGGGACGGTAAATTTTCAAGGGCTGTCCGACGAGGTAGTTTGGCTCTTGTGGGATCGACGTCCAGCCACGGAGACGAAGACGGAATGGCAGAGAGAAGTAACGCCTCCAGCACGAGCAGTCTAACGTTGCCGCCAATGCCGGGAACGAGTCCCGACGGCGGGGCCAGCCCTAGGAGGGCTGTCAGTCCCTTGCTCGAGATCCGCAGGCCTCACTGCACCCTCAACTGCGAATTTTGCAATGTCTACCTCGAGGACATCTACAGGCACAGTATGTGTGTGTATGTGTGTGTATGTGTGTGCGCGTG